AAGTTATAGAGAGCCAGCCTTGAGTGAACAAGCTAAGTGGGCGCATAAGATCCTGAATTTAAGCCCCTGTACTGTCACAAAACCAAACCAAACCCAAAACCAAATAAAAAGATAAAAACACATTCAGAAACCATGTGTCTTATCCCAACTGCTGGCCTTTATGCTTCCCAGCACAGCTTTGTTTTTGTTATTTTCTTCTTGGGTTCAAGTCACCCCCGTTATTTTGCCTATGACCTGTACTCAAGAAATACCAACGTATAATTTGAGAGAAATTATTTTTAGCATTGGCAGTTTTATTCTCTATTGTGCTTAAGGGGATATTTTCTTTGGCAATTTTCACAGAAAAAAAAAGTTTATATTTGAACTTTATAGTCATGACAAGGAAGATTGCATGGAAGCCAAGTAATAAAATATTCTATATTAAGTCTGTTCTCAACTTTTCAAAGCTCAAATTTAGGTTTGTGAGCTTGGGGCACAGATGGGATGTGGAGGAAGTTCTTGAACATATCACACTTGCCATCAAGTTCTTGGTTATGCTATGAATCCAAGAACATTTCCAACCCTACTACCTCCATGCCTTATTGCTTAAATAGCTAAAATAAACCACCAATGATGTGAGATACGGTCAAGAATGTACTTTCTAATTTCTAGATTTTATGCAAAGTTTAGTGCAAATTTATGTATAAAGAAAGTACTTGCGCTTGTGTGTATGTGTAGGTGTGACTCTGTGTGTCCATGTCTATGGATTTACATGTGGAGTCACAAACTGTGTAATGATGTTTTTATTCTCATTGTGAAAAGTTATATGCTCTGGAATAGCAATAAGTGATCATCAAGTAAATAAATTTGTGAATATTTGTCAGGAAATGTTATTTATGTGGCTTTTTATTGGTTCTTTTAAAAAATTTTGTCCGTCGTAAGGCTTTAACTGAGGGCCTGGGTGCTGTTCTTGAGCTCTTTTGTTCAAGGCTAGTTACTCTATTATCATTTGAGCCTTAGCTCCACTTTGAGTTTTCGTGTGGTTAATTGGAGATAAGAGTCTTATAGGGAGTTTTTTGCTCAGGCTGGCTTCAAACTGCTATCCTCAGATTTCAGCCTACTGAATACCTAGGATTACAGGTGTGGGTCACTGGCACTTGTCTTTTGTTTGTTTTTGAATGAAAGTTTTCTTAATTGGTGGATATGCTCTATAATTCCTATAGTTCTGGGATTGAACCCACGTGTTCATTATTGAACTGCACTTATTTTAATTGAGATACCAAGCTATCACCAAGTGCATACATATATATAAATATATATCATCTCTATTATATGGAAAATTTAGTTTTAGGAATATATCAGAAAAAGTAAAAAACTACTAGATACTTCTTGGGAATGTGAACAATTGCTGAAATGAAATGATTTACTTTATCATTCATCATTCACAGCTAACTGTTGATCTGTCGAAACACAAAACCTTTGTTGTTTCTTGAATCTGGGGCAGTTGAAAAACTTGAATCTGAGGTGTATGGTTGAACTAATTGTTCTCTGGACTCTGGTTTGCACGTGCATGCTGATGTGTGGGCTCCTCCTTACTATACCTTGTTTGTGATTCATATGACATCCTGGAATTTAGCAGTTCATAGAGCCACTGGGAATGCATTGAAGCAGGTGAAAAACATTACTGCTGCTGCATAGTCAATATTTCATTCTTCAATATCTCAGGCAAGCCTGAACCACCATTAGGTGATTAGTCTTTAGGCTTTCCCTTCCACTTCAGTGTGTTGCTCTCAGTGTGTATTTGAATACTCAAAGGGCTAATAAACCAGATTGTGGGTACCACTCCCAGAGTTCCTAACTTGGTAGATGTGAGACAGGGCTGAGTATCTGCACATCTAACAAGTTTCCAAGATGCAAACTGGTGTTCCAGGGCACGCTCTTTGAGAATGGTTATTCTATATAGTCTTTTCTCAGAGTCTGATCCTCTAATCAGAATCACTCTTGGACTATGATCTTTGGGTCCCCAGGATCTATGATGATGCTTGAATCTGAATCTTCAAGTGTTGTGCCCAGGATCTGTCATTTTGTTTAGCTTGTCAGACAGTTCATATGTACACTCACATCTGAGAATCAGTGAGAAAGAAAGTCTCGAAATATTCTTAGTTGGACAAAACACAAATCAAATCTTCCCTTAAATATGATCACTTTTCTACCAGTGACTTGGCATGTGTCAGTTGCTTTGTACATAGGATGTACTTTAATGAATCAGTGATAATAAATGCAGGCAATATATGCTACTTCCAGTTTATCTCCAATACCTTTTCTATTCTTTTTCTCTTTATTTACTTTTGCTTTTTATTTTTAGGGGTTTTTTTTGTACTGCTATTGGGGCTTGAACTCAGTGCCTGGACACTATAACTTAGTTTTGTTGCTCAAGGCTGGCACTCTTCCATTTGAGCCATAATTCTACTTCCAGCTTTTTGGTGATTCATTGGAGATAAGAGTCTCACAGACTTTCTTATCTGGGATGGTTTTGAGGCATAATCCTCAGATTTCAGCCTCCTGAGTAGATAGGGTTACAGGTTTGAGCCAATGGTGTCTGACTAGCACCTGTTCTTTAAAATATATCATCTGTCCTTTAACTATTTGCTTATTTTACTGTCTTCAGTCTAGACAGGGACTCTAGCTTGTTTTTGTTGTATCTACAGCATCAAACCATACACATACACACACACACACATGTACACACACACATATATACACATACATAATTCACACACACATATATGTACACACATGTATATACATACACATACATAATTTCAATGTTTGCTGGATTAAACAGTTGTAAATGTTAGAGTGTCTCTTAGATTCTGAAAAGGAAGTGGCACGAATCTTTAAACTTTCTTGGTTCCTTTGAATATGTATTGAAGTGTTCGAAAAGGAACACCAGCAGGTTGGTTCAAGTGTGATGTAGACTGAGGGTAACTAGAACATTACAGTCACATCCAAAAGGGGATGGTGGTGCTAAGATACATTTTTAAATCAGTTTATTTGGAACATAAGGCTCATTGCATGCCATTAGCACATATATACGGTACATTTGGGAAAGCTACTCCTCAACAGCGAAGAGGACAAAGTGGAGAAAGGGAAAGGTTTCTATGTTGGATGAGGCTAATGTGTACTAAGGACATTAGGTGGTCTGAATTTTAAAGTAAATAAACAAAGGTCAGAACCTAACCCCTGTCATTGCAACTTTGAAATAACTCTACCATTTCATTTTTGGCAGATTAAACCATTTGATACTATAACTCCAAGTTTCTTTTTTTTTATTGTGAGAATACCGTACAGAGGAGTTACAATTACATGGGCAAGATAGCAAGTAGATTTCTTATCAAGCATTGTTGCCTCCTCTTTGTTTCCCCTTCCCATCCCTTCCCATACATCCCCCTCCTCCCCCCACTTGATCCTCCCTCCCTTCCCCCCTCCCCCAGCCACCAAGTTTCTTTTTCTTTTTTTTCCCTCTATTTTCTTTACATTTATTTATTTAGTAGTGGTCTTGGGGCTTGAACTCAGGGTCCTGGAGCTGTCCCTGAGCTTTTACTCAAGGCTGTCACCTTACCACTTGAGCCACAGCTCCACTTCTTTTTTTTTTTTTTTTTTTTGGAAATAAGAGCCTCATGTCTGAACTTTCCTGTTTGGGTTGGTTTCGAACCATGATTCTCAGAACTTAGATCCTTGAGTAACTTGGATTATAGGATGTGAGCCACCAATTCCTGACTCTTTCTATTTTCTTATTTTAAGCTTTTACAGGAAGCAAAAAAGCAAGACTTTAAGCATGCTGGCCTACTCATGACAACAGTTCTAGAGTAGAAATGGAACAAAGTGTGGAGAGCAATTCCTGGTATTGAGGTTGAAATCAATGACTGTTTAAATACAATCCGTCTTGTTCTAAATTCTAAACTCTGTTATTTTCTGCTTAAATAGCAATGCAATGCTCTTTTTTTTTTTTTTAACTGACTTGCTTAATTTCCTGTTTTATGTCCCATAGACTGCCTTCCAGATTTTAGGTCTTTTCTAATTCCATTTGCAAACTAGCTGAATTTTCTACTTTGTTGTTTGGACAACAGAGATCCTTAATTTATTGTTTGCTTGATTGTTTGAGGCTTGTTTGTGTTTGTACTGAAGCTGACACCATACCTAACCACATCGTAGGCTGGCACTTGTCATGTACATTCTACTCTCAAATCAACCTCACTTTTGAGAGAATCTCAAGGCTCTTGTAGTGGATTTTCATATTTTACCACCATTGTTCCATTGTTCTATTTTTATTTGTGTAATAAAATAAAATAGAAGAGCATACTTGGATAAAAAAAATAGTCATGGATAATGTCAATGATAGATGAACTTTTCTTAAAGATTAACAGAAAATGCAACCAGTGAGATATTTAAAAGAAAAAGTGTCATGTGGTATTTTAGAAGAACAGGAATTTGAACTAAAAGTTCCAAAGCTTACTGAAAGATAATGACATTTTTTGGTACAAATGAGAAAAAAAATGAAGTCAATACTGTTAAGTTCAAATTATGAGGATTAAACTAATTGAAGCTACATGTTAGTTTGTGTTCTCTGGTTTCTGAGAAAGGCTCTAGATACAATCTTTTGTTCTTCTTCATATGATTGGTGACTACCTTCTTATTTACTTGAATCCTTCAAGGTCAAGTATAGTCCTTGAAACCAGTATATGTGGAATATGTGTTTGTTTCACATACAAATGGCTTTAATGAGACACTTCAGAAAAGATGGTGTATATCAAGTATAATTTTAAGTAATTTTAATACTGGAAAAAAATTCTTCGCATTTTAAGCTTTTTCTTTTCTCCAGGTAAACTTGCATAAGTCATTCTGACCTAGATGATAGATGGTTCAACATTAAAAAATAATAGTTAAGACAACAGACTTCTCTGCATCTTTTATCACTTCTGTAGTTTACCTGTCTCATGTTTTATTGTTCTTTTAAACAGGGATTCCATAAACAAGTGGATGTGTCATATATTGCCAAACATTACAACATGAGCAAAAGCAAAGTGGACAACCAGTTCTACAGTGTGGAAGTTGGAGACTCAACCTTCACAGTTCTCAAGCGTTACCAGAACCTGAAGCCAATCGGCTCTGGGGCTCAGGGAATAGTTTGGTAAGTGAAGGGGGCTCAGTTATACATTTAAAGAAAATATGCCAAGTGTATCTGCTAGACACAAATCCACAAGCAAAAAGAGAATCTTAAATCAAGAAACCCAAATAAAACAAATAACAAGGAAAGTGTATTGCACTAATAGAAATAACATTAGGAGCATTATTTGTTATCCCTTTCTTATTTCATAACAATATGTACAATTTGGCTCCTGACAGAGTTCAGAGTCCTTGTTTTTAGTTACAAGAAATAAAAGTCCAACCATAAAAAAATCAAAATAACTAGAAGTTGTCAGTTGTTAATATATTTAGAAGTTTTTATTTGTATGTTTTACAGCAAGCAAGAAAGAGATGTTTAAAATAGCAACAAATAAATGCCCCCACACTGTCCAGAGGGAAAAGCCAAATGTCAGATAACCTTGTAACTTTTAGAGTTCAGTTGTTAAAATTAACTTATGCAATTGCAAGTAGTGTTTAAAAATGTTTGTCTAAAGTTTCCAAATGGAAAAATTCTAGATTCCCTATTAATAATCTTTTATCATATTTTTGAGGGCTAATTGAAATAATGACAAATCTAGATCTGATTCAGACACTGCAAAACTATTGCAAAGTAATAGCATAATACTAATTGGCATGTGTAACATGTGTAACTGAATGCATTTAATATGAACTTGCTGCTTAATGATTTTTAATCTTTTTGATGGCTTACAGTGATAAGTAAAGTTTTAGATCATATACTGTTTCTACATCCTTAAATATATAATGTATTTAAATTTAGATAGATATATATTTATTTGTAATGGATATTTATTAATGCAATGTATTTGATAACATAGTTGCTACACTAATTCGACGGTCTATTAAAAACATGAAACTTTTTACAGAGTGAGATGAAGACAAAAAAACATGTAAAATTTTTGAAACTCCTTTTTCTACTCATTTAAAACTATTCAGTATTTTAAACTTTATTTTTATTATCTTTAATTGTACAAAGGGGTAAGCAATCAACGTGTCACGTTATGAAAGTGCAATGCATCTTGATTTATGCGTCTTGATTGATGTCATCCCTTTCATCATTCTCCTCCATCCCTCCCAACCCAATGAAGTGTTATTTTATGGTGGCAATGAATAGTTCCATTTTTTTCTAATATCTTCATTTTGTGCTTTGCAAAACTATTTGAAAGTTTGGTTTAATTTTGTCAACTGGCTTAAGTTCAGTGTTAATGTTTGGCTGACATGAATGAAGGCAAGTACTGCCAATGTACGTTTGAAATTATGATTGTGTAATCTTGTTTACCAAATATAACAAGGCTTTTGTTGGAATTCACCTAGCAAATATTTATCTTCCTGTTGTCAAATAGTAGTTATTCAATGTGGAAGATGAAATATTTTAATGATTTTAACAATGGACCAAATCTTTTATTAAAATGATACTGAAATAGATAAGCAAGAAAGGAATTTTTTCAATATTTATTTATATATTTAATATCTAGCTACTTATTTATTTTGATAGCTCAAGCATGCTCAAAATATTTTCCTGGAATGGTAAGAAGAAACATCACAAAAGATGCTCAAATCCCTATTCTTCAGTATATTTGAATGTTTTTTAATATTGAAAAAGGAACTTTATAAATATGATTAATATCATGGCACATATAGGCCCCAGTGACTCACATCTATAATCTTAGCTATTAGAGAAGCTGGAGTTAGATCTGAAGAACCACAGTTTGAAGCTAGCCTGATCAGAAAAGTCTGCAAGACCCCATTACCAATTAACCATTAAAAAATCAGGGGAGGACTCTCCCTCCAGTGGTGGAATGCCAGCCTAGTAAATTCAAGGCCCTGAATTCAAACTCCAGGAACAACAACAACAAAAATAATTAAGAGAAAAATGAGACTAAGGTCCTTATAATAGAGTCTCCTGGAATACCCAGGTGGGACCAATGACATAAATCCTGAAGATTGGGAAAGAATGCTAGAAGGTGGACTACAGAAAAGAAAAGGGGTTGAAATATGAGAGATTCACCTTGCTGCTGCCTTGGGCAACAGAAGCATAGGGACATGAAACAAGGAATGTGGCTGACTTATTGGAACCATAAGTAACTGTGAACTGATGGTCACCAAGGAAGTAGAGGAATTGCAATTTGCTAACAACATGAGTGAAAGAAAGCATTCTCCTTTAGCACTTCCATAATATCTTGATTTTAGCCCAGTGAAAACAATGGAGGGCTTCTGATCTACAGAAATGTAAGAGTCCATATTTGTGTTGTTTAAGCAGGTGTTGTGATGATTTGTTATGGTAATAAACATGGTGTACTAAAGATTGTAACATAAGATAGCTGTTGTTGTTGTAAGGTGAGAATTCAGAGAAGCCACATTTTGAGAAGTTGAATTTTGGAGTCTTTATTAGAGCACTAGCAGTCTGCAGGCAGTCAATTGTTACAAAGGCCTGCAGGCAACACACTTAATACTGTTAGGAAATAGGCCAGAGAGGAAAGAACAAAAATAATATCAACAAACCAATTCAGTTCCAATGGAGAGCTGAAGTGGGATATTATGGTGGCCAGTGGACAGCCAGGAGACAGGAGACAGAGCAGGAAAGAGGAGACACAGGGCATGGCCTGATGACATCTGTACTGTTCTGTTTCTAAATAGGGTCAGGCCAGGGGTCAGGGTCACAGGAAACTCCCTTCCCAGGCACTGGACTAACAGGTTCAGTAACCTATCAGCCAAGTGACTGCCCCTGTCTATAGGGATCCAGATATGCCCATCACCTGAGGGAGGTGGGCTTCACCATCCCCCACCATGAAGACAAGATGCTAGACCTTAAATGGACATACTCCGGTCCAGCAGAACTTTTCCATCTAGGAAAGATAGGCCTCAACTTTCCATATAAGGTATGCTTAGAGGCTACTCAGAGGCTGGTGAGTCAAGAGATTTAGGGGATTAATCAATGCAGAACCAGAACATTCTCTATATGCATAGCTTTTCTAAGGCTGTGATATCTGCATTTCTCTGAAGCAGAGCCCTCCTAGGTCACCTTGAGCTAGACATCTACATTCAATATGGCCTCTGTGAAGCATCTAGGCTTTTCAGCACTGCCTGGAGAATTCCCTGCGCCCAGCAAGAGGCAACAAGATGGCTTTAAGAAATTACTTACACTCAGCCTCCTTACTTCACTGTAAACCAAATTTAAAAAGAAAGGGAGAAAACAAATTATTAGCTCCTTTTTTTTGATGGGAAATTATGGAATATAATTTTTAAGTGAAAAAAGTTGCTTTATTGGTTATTCATAAACTATATTAAAAATGTAATACAAAGATAATCTTCTGCAGAACGTAAGTGTCATCAGATTTGTACTTTAACATTAACTAAGCCATTTTTTTAAATTGTGAAAATACCATGCAGAGGGGTTACAATTACATGGGCAGGATAATGAGTAATTTCTTATCAAGCATTGTTGCCTCCTTTGTTTCCCCTTCCCATCCCTTCCCATCTCCCCCCTTCCCTGCGCCCCCTATAATTTAATAAGATAATTATAGGAGGGTTGGTAGTAGGGTTTCACTGTACTTGTAATAAAGCCATCACCACTTAAAATAAGGACTTCAAGTGAAAAAAAAAAACCTTATGTATCTTTTGATGACTCAAAAATAGATCCAGACAGGCACTGGTGGCTCATGCCTATAATCCTAGCTCCTCTGGAAGCTGAGATATGAGGATCATGGTTCATAGTTAGCCTTGCCATAAAAGTCTAGGAGACTCTTATCTTCAATAAACTACCAAAAAATCTGAAAATGGAGATGTGGCTCAAGTGGTAGAGTGCTAACTTTGACAAAAAATACTCAGGTACAATGTGTAGGCTGAGTTCAAGCCCCATGACCAGAAAATAAAAAAGATCCAAAGTAACATTTCACTGAAGGCATTAATAGATTGCCTCAGAAAGATTTGACAATTTTTACATAGAATGTTGTGCTTTATTTTATAGGCATCTTTGACCTTTTTATGGAAAGAATCCTTGGTCTTAAACATACTAACTGAAATAGAGGTTAAAAATTAAAAGATCCCTAAGTAAGATTTTTAAGCCCATTTAATACAAATGTATCAACAAATTTGTCAGAAAGGAAATAAAAACCCAACCAAATTCCAAAATGTTAGCCTTGGAGTTTGATTTATTCATCCTTTTGCTTCCACTCAAAGAACATAGTCATATTTAAGCTAACAAATGAGAAAATGATGGAAGCAGATTGAGGCCTTTACAGTTAGCATTAGACTTTCTATACAGATGTGGTAATTAGAGCATAAACCTGAATATAAATTTAGTGTCCCTTAACTTATAACTTGAATCTAAAATGTACTACTTCTCATGTAGATCTGTTCTTGCATTGACTTGTCTTTTCTACTATCCTGCACTTAATTTGCTTTCTATTTTCTTTTGTCAACAGTGAGTTTATTTACCCCTTTCATGCCAAACATATGTCCACGTGACATGATCCTAAAATTCACAGACCTTTCCTATGTCCATGATATTGCTCAGACTAGAAGAGTTTCATGAATGTGTAATGGGAAAGTCTGAGACCAGTTTCAACAGTAGGACAGGAGACAGGTGAACAAATCATTTTAGAGTATTTTTCCAGTTGAGTAGAGGGTGTTAGTAATATTTTTTCTTTTCTTTAATAAGTTTTTTATTGTAAAAATACTGTACAGAGGGGTTACAGTTACATGAGCAAGGTAATGAGTTGCCTCCTCCTTTGTTTTCCCCTACCATCCCGTCCCTCCCACCTCCACAAGTATAGGTACCCCAACTTCCCCCCCTCCTCCCCTTGCCCAAATTGTAAAGTTCGTTTTGCAACATAGTGTCTTCTACATCTCATTGTTAAAAATGGGTCAACCTGTATCCCTATTTAAACATTTTGTTTTTTCCCTTCCCCTTCCCAAATTATACCAGCATCAAATACTGTGAAAACAGGGGTTATACCATGGGGAAGGGACATACAAAGCAACAAC